GATGCTGTCACTGTCTTCTTTCTCGCATTGATATTTTGAGATCTGTAGAAATAGATGGTTGATCCATAAAGCTCAACAATTTGGTTTCGGAAAGGAAGCAAACTCTCACATTTGACCAAACTTGTTCAATAATATCAGGTTTTTGATCAAATCCTTCTGGATTATTTTGTCTGATGGACTTTTCATTTCTGATAATGTACTCTTGAATGAGATCAAAAACTTCATCCTCATTACTAACGTTCAGATTGTCCAACGAAACAAGCCACAAGAAAAATTCCACTGGTAAATTCATAACTTCATCACGTTTCTTTGAAATGTCTTTTCCGAAAGCAGTCAGTGATTGTGAAAGGAAGGAAGAATTAACAGCCAACATGGAGTGATCACGAAGTTGTGAATAATACAATAAATGTTGTTCGGTATACTTTGATGTTTTTGTCATTTGTTGCAAAAGTTGGCATTCCAGAGGAGAAATTTGCAAATAGTGAGCAAGACATAATGTACAGGCATATGGTAAGCCTTTGTCAATATCCAAAGTTCTCTCACCATAAATATATCTCAAAATAATTTGCTCGAATATATCCTTTTCTACAGAAGTTAATTCAAATTCTACAACGGAATTAGTACTCTCTGTAAATTCCGAATTGAGCAAAGTTCTAAAATACAATGATTCCAAAGCCAAAAATACTTTGTGTACCTTGATAGATACAATAGTCATATTCATATCTATTAATTTAATATTGATAATAAAGTCGGGTGGACAGACTGGAGCATCATTGTACAATAGATGGTAGTACGAAGGTGTAGTGGCCCTCTTTGAAAATTTACCAGTCAAATACTCACAACTTCCCGAAGGTCCTTCTGTTGATGTTGCTGGTTTTGATATGTTATTGTCCACATGAATAGTGATCATATCTCCTGTTTGTATCAGGTTATTATGATTATCATCAAGCATACGCTCCATGTTATTAAATGATGAGGAGAGCATATTTTTTGTTGTTTTTTTTGTTTTATTGTGATTTTATTTTTAGATTCAACCACACGAATGGTATTTACTTTTTCAGTACTTTTATGGCTACTGTAGCTGTAATATATATTAATTATTAAATTGTAAAGAAAGTAAGACGATTGAATCTCATCGATAGTATGCATAAGCTTAAAATGGATCATCCTCACACCACAATAATTAGTTATTCAAGTATCTCTTCCTAAGCTACTCCTTCCACCTCATCAACACTATAATCAATTGTTATTGAAACCAAGTCAGGCAGAAAAGGAGTTTCCATCGCTAATGTATAACTTTGGAAAGATTGGAGCACTGTTCCGCAAGGAGTATTTCTTTTCAAATAAATTATTTGAAATTGCTTTGAAAAAAAAGAAAATGAATTCTTGTTGGTTTTGTTAATAAGATAATTTGAGATTTCAATAATTTATGGAGAAAAATGATTCGCCATAGATTTTTAAAAGTAGTTATTGAGAGTGAGGGAAGAAACCTCAGAGGCAGAGTGCCTTTGTGAAAATCATGACGTTGGCAACATAACCAGTGTTATAATAGTACCAGCGTTGTGTCCACCAATGGTCAACTTGCCATCGTTCAAATTCTTTGAAGCAATAGAAGTTGAACTAGTCTTGAATAACGAACCATCTAAATAGAGATCTGTACCATCTGTCCTAAAAACAAACACCAAGTGTCTCCAAATGTTGGAAGCAAAGACGCGATATGTTATTACCATTGACACTGAAAGCAAGTGGAATACCTCCATAAGGACTCTTGAGCCATACTGAAAAACTATTAGAAACTGTAAGGTTTACGTTCACTGAAGGAGCAAGACCATTCTTTTTTGTACCAATAGTGCGGAAAACCTCAAAATTTTCATTGTGTGCTAAATGAACCCCTCATGCATAATCCGTCTGGATTAGGACCAAACCAGTGCCTTAATACTACATTTGAAACTGTTGTAATAACAACATGATTATCTTTGACTATTGTGCGAAGAGGCACAAATCAATTAGATTATTGTTATTTGATATCTAAATATCAAACACATTGAGGTGATTCCATTGTCCAACAGGTAAGGTAAATAGAGAATTTGTTTGAATTTGCCTTCTTGGTGGAACCAATTCGCTTGTTTTTATTTAGAAACACTTGAAAGAAACTCCATTTGAACATGATTTGGTAATTGTTTCATTAAAACCATGGGAGCATCCAAAATTGTATGCATCCATAACTGTTTCAATTGTTTTGCAATCCTTAAAATTGATATAAGCACCACTCAATCCATATTTACTCAGAATACTACTTCCCA